GTAGTAGTAGTAGTAGTAGTAGTAGCAGTAGTAGTGGTAGTAGTAGTAGTAGTAGTTGTAGTAGTAGTAGTTGTAGTAGTAGTAGTAGTAGTAGTAGTAGTCGTAGTCGTAGTCGTAGTAGTAGTAGTAGTAGTAGTAGTAGTAGTAGTAGTAATAGTAGTCGTAGTAGTACTAGTAGTAGTAGTCGTAGTAGTAGTCGTAGTAGTAGTAGTAGTAGTAGTAGTAGTAGTAGTCGTAGTCGTAGTAGCCGTAGTAATCGTAGTAGTCGTAGCCGTAGTCGTAGGCGTAGTCGTAGTCGTAGCTGTATTCGTAGTCGTTGGCCTACTCGTAGTCGTGTTCGTAGTCGTAGCCGTAGTCGCAGTCGTAGTCGTAGTCTTACGCGTAGTCGTGGTTGTAGTCGCTGCAGTCGTAGTCGTAGTCGTAGCTGTAATCGTACCTGTACCGCGCAGGAATATGGCAATATGATCAAAGCTAGGAGATCAGCAGCATCAGTGCACGACTAGTATGATAATTCGGAGGAGAAGGCATGAGGAGAAGCTAGAAGGATGGAGGAAGAACGGGGTCGACAGAAGCAGTCGGAGTAGGAAGGTGAGGGCGGATAATGAGCAGGAGGAGGAGGAGGAGCAGGAAGGAAGCAGGGGGTGAGGGGTCGGACGAGGGCGGATTGAGGGCCTCCCAGGTGAATGCATATTCAGACGCGCCCTCAGTGTGCGTTGATCTGTGGTTCGGCCCCGATGATCCAGCGACTCTCCTGTCGCTCCGCGTTTACCTCATTTATCGTTTTCCGCCCGCCCAATATTTGTGCCGCCCGTCGCGATCGTAATATTCTAGACGCTTTGCGTAACCCCACCAGCCCATCCAGAGACCTAGGCGAGTTGCCCTGACCAGGGATGTGGAGGAGCATGCCGTGGAACACGGGTTGGGGAAGCCGTCATTCCCCAAGAGGGGGGGAATTGAGGATGAATCGGAGGAAGAGGAGGAGGAGGAGGAGGAAGAGGAGGAGGAGGAGGAAGAGGAGGAGGAGGAGGACGAGCAGAAACGCCAGAGGCCTCTTGAATGCCATTCGGGGTCACTTCGGATGTCTCTGGAGAGCTTCATGGGGTCATTTTGGGGCTTCTCGGGGGCCTCTTGGCGGTCCCAGGGGCCTCTTGGAGTATCTTGGGTGCCTGGGGGGGCCTCTCGGGGGTTTCTTTGGAGCCTCTTGGGGACCTCTTTGGGGCCTCTCGTGGCCTCCTGGGTGCCTTTCGGGGCCCTCTTGGGAGCCTTTGGGGCCATCTTGGGGCCATCCTGGAGGTCATGGATCAAAGAAGGCGGGGGTCGCCCCCCTCCCAGGAGGCCCAAATGGGCCCAAAGCCTTAGTACAATCAGCGACTTTTGCCTTCTCGCCGAGGCCGTTTTAGACGCTCCAGCGACTCGCTCCCCCCCCCCTTTTCCAGGTCAAGGGTATGGGGGTAGGGGGAGGGCTCAAGCTACCCGCTTATATAGCAGGCCGTCTAGCTCACTCCCACCCGCCCTCCCAACACATACGGTAGGTTCGTGCGGCGTTGGCGCGCCGGTGATGCCGGCGAAGGCGTTCAAGGTTGAATTCTACAACGCGGAAGCACCGATAAACATTGTAACGCCACGGGATCCGACTGAATTCAAACTTGAACGATCGGGGCCGCGATCGGTTCAAGGTTGAACGATCGACGCGGTGTCGAAAACCTCTGCGCGCGCCGACGTCGCGCGAACCTACAGTAAGTAACACACGAATGTCAGCAGACCGCTTAGGAACGCCACGCATTCCATGCGTGCCACGGGTTCCGGGTGCACCAGGCACCCTGGCGGCTCGAGCGTGCCAGGTGCGGCACATGCTCCACGTGCGCAAACTGTGCCACGTGCTCCAGCCGCGCCAGGTGCGCGAGCTACGGGGAACCAATGGGGGACCCGAGGTGCCCGGGGCCCTGGCCCGAAGGAGTTCAGGATTTGAAGCTTCCTGAATCGAAGTGCTGAGCATTCTGTGAGAAGGGCGGCTCTTGTAGGGAGCCCACAGCACCAGTACCGATGGACAATTTGTGACATCTTGAGGAGTCGTGAGACAGATGAGAGCTTAGAGAAAAGATGACCCTCCGCGTGCTCCTCTTTTGGAGCCAAAGTCTATTTTTGTATGTTTTTTTGACAGGGATGGTTGGCCTGCGCGCAGCAGGCAATATGACGGCACCGCCGCCGTCCCTGTCAAAAACCAATGCAAAGTGGTCGCGGTGTGCCCGCGCACGCGCCAGATTTGGAAGCAAAGGGCATTTCGTAGTGTTTTTTTCGAGGGATGGTGGGGGGGGGCTCATTGGTCTGGGTTGGCTGCCGGTCGCCTGAGGGAGGGGGTGTTTATGAACAGGGAACAATAATAACCCTTCCCCGAAGGGGAAGACGGGGGTTGGAAGAGGAAACCCGCTAAATCACTCATGCCTTAAGGGCTGGTGGGATTTTGTCTTGCCAGTCCTCCTGACTTCGCCCCCTTGTTTGACTCACGTTGTCATCATACTGCTTAGTCCTGCATAGTCTTCCACACACCATCAGCCCTCCTCTATCCTCCATCCTCCATCCTCCTCCTCCTACCTCCTCTTTTTCCTCCTCCTCCCTTCTCTTCTTCTTCGTCTTCCTCCTCCTCGTACTCCTCGTCCTCCCTTCTCCTCCTCCTCATCCTCCGCCTTCTCCCCCTCCTCCTCCTTCTCCCTCCTCCTCCTCCTCCTCCTCCTCCTCCTTCTCAGTCTCCTTCCTCCAAATATCTCCTCCTCCCTTCTCCTCCTGCGCCAATTTCCTGCTCCCTTCTCCTCCGCCTCCGCCTCCTGCTGCTCCTCCTTCTTCTTCTCCTCCTCCTCCTCCTCCTCCTCCTCCTCTTGCCCCCCTTGCTCCCCCTGCTCATCTCCCTTCTCCTGTTTCCATCATCCGTTTCCACCTCCTCCTTCCTCCTCTTCCTCCTCCTTCCTTCCTCCTCCTCCTCCTCCTCCTCCTCCTCGACCTTCGAGGTTCGAAGATCGACGTTCCTGGGCGTCCTTCGCTCATTGGCTGCCTACACTTGCTGCTTCCGCTGCCGTCCTCGATTCGGCGGCGCGGTCAGTGTGCATCGATCTGGGTCAGCCCCGGTCGCCCCTGCATCTCCCTCGCCGCCTGCTGCTGCCGCCTTCGATTCGGCGGCACGGCTCGTGCACATCGATCTGTCGGTCGGCCGCGATTGCCCCCTCGCCGGCCGATGGCTCTGCTGGAGTTGGGCTCTCCGATTTGTGGATCAGCTGCTCCGCGGACGTCAGCAGTCCACCTCTCTTCGGACAGGGCTAGGACGAGAATAACAATCCGTTCCAGAGCGCTCTGGAATGCTCGGAGAGCCTTCTGGAACGCTCTGACGAGGCCGCGGCGCCCGGGACATCCTCCAGAGCCGCCAGATCTCAGAGATTCTCGATTTATCGGCGTCACCCCAACATACTAATACTATGTGTGCGTCGCCCCAGTGGCGACGCGCGCACCGAGAAATCTCATAGTGTATGCGTCGTGGCGGGCGATTTCTGGCCACACCGCTCGGGAAACGGCATCCTACAATGTCGGCATGCTGCATGCTCGCGCCGGACGCGCGCCTCCAAGGAGGGCACAAAGTACTGGTAGGTCGCTGTGCGCCACAATCGATCCTCGCCCGCTTTTGGCCTCGCCCTGGCCTCGTCTCACCTCTGGTCTCGGCCGGGACCCTCCCTGGGCCCGGGATCCGTGTGCACGCCCTCCGGGCCTGGCCGGAGAGGCAGGCGCACCGACCCCTGGCACAGCATCGGCCGGGCAGGGCCCGGCGGGCGGATCGCCGACGCCCCCGACCGATGGGCCCGCCAGGAGGCGGCGGAGTCAGCCGCACGCGCAGAGGGGGGCGTGGGGGGAGGGGGGAAGGCTTCTCAGGAGCACCCCTGCTGCTTCGAAGGCGCAGGCCTTCTGTTCAGACGTGAGGCCGGCGCCTTCTCTAAGGAGCAGCCTCCTCCTGGGAAGCCTTCCTCCCTTACACCCCCTTCGGCGCGCCGCCGAGGCGGAGGCAGGAGGAGGGCCCCGACCTCCGACGTCGTGCTTTTTTTCGGGTCTGAGAGCCTCTCCCTGGGGACCGGCTGTTCGTGCCGAGCAGTCTTCTGGCGGTCCCGGGACCCGGCGAGTGCCCGCGGGCTGCAAGTTGCTCAACACGCTGCGTCGCCACGGCGCGAGGAGGCCCGGCCGGTTCCAGCGCGGGCCGCCAGCGGCCTGTCGGGACGGTTTGCAAACCGTCCCGACGGGGCGGTGGACCACCGGCGCGGTGGACCAACGGCTTAAGCATCTGTTGGCCCACCCGCGGGGCGGTCTGACTTTAACGTCGGGTGTGAGTCGTGAGCTCATCAGTTTGGGCACCCCGGGGGCGCCCTCGTCGAGGCGCAGCTGCAAGAGATCTTCCCGAGGCTGGAAGACCTCCAGTACCCGAGGAGAACTTCCCGAATCTCCGAATATGCGAACACATCCGACGCGATGCGAGGAGGTCTGGGAGGACACTGGGGAGATCACCGTAGGATCCCAATGAGCATCGACGACGCACGCTGGGCAACACGCGCCTCCCCTGTGGGCGGCGGCTTTCGGCAGCTCAACGTTGCTGCCGAGACCGGCGCTCTGCTGGAAATCCTGTACAGCAGGAAGGGGAAACAGGCACAGACACAATTAGTCGTCGATTCCCAAGAGAATATGGGAAACTGTGGGAAATGGAGGGGAAGACGAGCATCCAGAAAATATGGAAGCATATGAGGGATCCTGCAACCGTGTCTATTTACGTGGTTCTCGCTGGGCCACTTTCTTATGTTCATGATGCTGCTCTCAAGCTACTGACTGCAACCCCAGTTCCGCTTCGAGCTGGCGTGAATGTGATACAGGAGACAAGGCGGGCCCGTGCACGGGTGAATCGAAAGATGTTTGGAAACCAACATAACAATTTTGAATAGCAACACGCTCGCATCAACCTATGACATTCCCTGAGACTTCAGCTCGACGTTCCAATATCCCCGATGAGCAACACCATCGCACCATGCACAACTTCAATGGGGCAATCGTGACAAGGAAGATTTGTAATACGAACATCAAAGCCTTTGAATAACGAAAGAGGACTACCCACCTGTAAAGACATCGTCCCAATGATCACACGGCATAATATTTGGATTGTGAAGGTTACACTTGATGCTACCTTGACCCCTCCAAGGCGCCACCCTGTACATGTAATAAACAATTGAGCGGCTCCAAACATTTACCCCAAGCTGGGAGCATGACACACAAAAAATGCTGGCCCGTGCACGGGCGAATCCACCACAACATACACGATATGCAAATGACCCACCAAAACATGAATGACAACATTTTGCGTAGTACCATGGAGTTTTCACGTCTCAGTTTACGTTCGGCCAGCACGACCCTTTTCCACCCACTGGTGATTGAGTTTGCACAGTGCAAAACGCAACCCACATTTGGGTCCGCACTCAACAGCTCGACGACCTGGACTTGGAACGCGACGACCGCAAAGCCACGTAGCCCTTGGACCATGAGCGGTGTGCAGCTTTCACCATTCGGCGGCGAGTCCGGAGGGGAAGTGACAAGGGCCGGGCCTTCTCAGCATGCTCGGAAGTCCCCCGGCCTTCTCAGGAGTTGTCGAGAAGCCTTCCCCGAAGGCACAGAGACACTTCTCAGAAGCCCGGCCGCCTTCTTAGAAGCCTCGCCGCCTTCTGAGAAGGCCTTCTCCTTCTCTTACCAGTTTGAAGCATATCCCCATCCCTATGTTTGGCATCACCTTACCTGGATACCGATCTTAAGGATTCCCTCAGTTTCTGAGGGCCTATCCCTAAGATTATCATCGCTTTTGGCTTGCTCATCTAAGGGATTGGGATCAGTTCGAGGCTGGTTATTCTCGCCTCCCCTCCCCTCGCTCGCTGCCGAGCCATGCCCTGCGTGCCCCTCGGGCCGCGGGGACCGGCGGGCACATGCCCCAAGCTTGTCTCCCGCCCGGTGCGCGTGCACCTCCGTCAGGGCGGGGGGGGGGCCCGCAGGACCGCCCGACCCGAGATGGCCTGAGGCGAGGAGGAGGAGGAGGAGGAGGAGGAGGAGGAGGAGGAGGAGGAGGAGGAGGAGGAGGAGGAGGAGCGAGGAGGAGCGTGGAGGAGCGAGGGGGAGGACGAGGAGGAGGAGGAGGAGGAGGAGGAGGAGGAGGAGGAGGAGGAGGACGAGGACGAGGACGAGGACGAGGAGTAGGATGAGGCGAGCGAACCTAGGAAGCTATGGAGGGAGGCGCGATGGGGAGGGCGCAGACCGCCGAGGACATGTCGCCCGAGGAGTTCCGGCAGACGCACCTGGGGCTGAACCCGCGGGGGCCTCGGGCGGCCCTTTCGCCAGGGTTCGGCCACGCGCACAAGGTCGGAAGTTTGCCAGAGGTACCCCCAGCCCAAGGTGCCCCCAGCTTTTTGCTCAATTCTGGAGCCCCTCTGGGCCTCGTGAGGGGTCCGCTGGAGGCCGCGGGGGCCTTCTTGGAAATTCTGGGGGCACCTTGGGCCAGGGACACTCCTAGCACAACCGGACAGGGAGGTAATTCCAAGGCTGGTTTCGCGTAAGAGAGTGACCCTTTGCCGGCGTGACCTTTGCTGCGGGCTCACAGGGGTCCCCTCAGCCCTGGTCAGCGCGCTTGAATCCGGCGTGCCCGCGGCCCCTTGAAGGTGCGCACCAGAGGTCCCTCTTGCCTAGGGTTAAATCGGGCCTGTCCCTCTACAGGAGGAAAATTCAACAATAGTCAAGCAATAGTCTGGGGACGATTTTGTTGAGTATTGTTTGTTGGTTTGTTAGGATCTGTTTTTGTCTATTTCTCATTTTTCGTCGAAGATCGCCCTGTAGGGGGACATGCGCGACCTAAACCTAGGGTCACTCTTGCGTGGAATCGACAAGGGAGTCCCATGAATCCTGGAAATCCCTAGCAACTCCAGCAGTGGCCGCCGCGGGAGGGGAACTGTTTCCCCAGAATTGTTTTCGGTCCCAGTCCGTCGAGAGCCCCGCGCAAGAAACATATTTTCCATCACAAAAGGGGGTCGTTGAAGACCTTTTTGGGTCAGGGGGAGGGGGGAAGGCTTCTTAGAAGCACCCCTGCTTCTCAGAAGGCGTGGGCCTTGTCTGTAGGTGTAGGGCCGGCGCCTTCTAGCAGCCTCCGTCTAAGAAGCCTTCCCCCTTTCTCCCCCCTGTGCGCGCCGCCAAGAAGAAGCACGGGGACCATGACCAAGATGTCGCGGGATTTTGTCGATGCCGATTTTGGTCATGGTCCATGTCGGCGGTTGCCGATTCGCGATTATGTTCCACGAAGCGACGCTGACTAAGATCGACGGTGACCAAGATCGGCACACTGCGCCCTTCGGTCCGCGCGGATCTCGGATCTGCGCTGGATTCCTCTCCCTGGCGCGCGGAGCGCGCTAGAAGCGGCGCCAGAGGCGGCGCCGGAAGCGCTGCCAGGGGGGCCCCAGCGCCGACCCGAGGAATCCGCACAGACCTCAGAATTTGTATGCTTACGCCACTGTTTGTTCCCCCAGACCTGCACCTGGAGCGGCGGGCCATCAGAAGCACACGCGAAAGGCCAGATCATGCAATCGTACGGCCGGGAGCCCACCGCGCCTCGGTGCCCCACGCTATCCACTTCGCGGTCCCGAGGCGGCCACGTCCCGAGCCTTTCCGAGCTTCCCGCCACGCGGAGCGGAGCGACCAGCAGAAAGGGGGGCGGGGAGAGGTTCGAGGCACCGGATTCGAAGAGGTCTTTGGCTTTGGGCCGCTTTCGGGCCCCGGGACCGTCATAAAAACCGGATCCGGGGTAAGGCTGTAGTGCATGGGCCCCGCCCAGGAGGGGTCCGGTGACCGACGTGGTAGCTCTGCCTTCGTTCCCCCACTCTTGGCCGACTTCCTCGGGGCCCAACCAGCTCAGACCCCCTTGCCGCCTTTGAGTCCGCGGTTCTGTCGATTCGGCTGCTTCGCAGTCGGCTGCGTTCGCTCAGTTCGGTCCGGTCGGTTCGGCTGCGGCGCTGCGTCCGTCTGGACTGCTCTCGGTCCCTCGGTTTCGGTTGGCGTCGGCTTCGCAATCGGTTCGGTTGGTTTGTGATCTTGGTGTTGCCGTGGACGCCCCGATCGCCGCAGGGTCGGGGCGTACGAGAAGGGAGGGATTGGGATTGGTGGGTGCGAGAACTGCTTCATGCGGCTGTTTTCGGTGCCGCTGTCATGCCCTTTCTTCGGTGCATGACCGCTCCTGGCGGCGGGCGGCGCCAGAAAGCCAGTTGCCTGCAGCGGATTCCCTACCCCCAGGCGTCCGACTCGACCAGGGGGTCCTTGGGGCATCTTCTTGCTTTCTCCTCCCCCGCTGCCTCCGCATCGGAGACGTCGGCGTCGTTCTTCCTCCTGGAGAGGCGGGCTGCTGGGTGTCGTGGCCACGGGGATCCTTCGGGCATCTCCCTGCTCTCTCCTCCCCCTCCGCTTCGGCCTTGTTGTCGTCATCCTCGTCGTCCTCTTCTTCATGGGGGCAGATCAGCTATCCTGTGTCGTGACCGCGGTCATTCATCCTCACCATTTCGGTGCACGGTTTGATCGCTTTAAGGAGGTAAGCAGGGACGAGGGGGGAGGCTGAGGAGGATCAGGATGAAGAGGACGAGGACGAGGCGAAATCGGAGGGGGGGCAGGAGGGAGAGCAGTGTGGGGACGAGGATAATGCAATCTCGTCGTTTGCGCCCAGAGTGGGACCTCTCTGCGCATGTGTGCAGCTTTGCGTGAAACGCCTGCTCATCGTTTGTTTAACAAATCAGGTTTCAGAGAGCCGCCTCACCACATGCTGTCAGAAGGCACTCCAATAATTTTGAGTATGAGTACACATTGCACACGTATGGGTCATCAACTTATCACTCACCATCACTCTACTCCTCCACGTCTTCACCTCTCTGCTGGTACCACCTTCCCCGCCTCATCACCATCATGCTTAAACTGATCATCGCACGCCTCTGCCTCCCCCTTCTGTACCTGGTCCTGCTCCACCGCATCACAGTATTCATCACCATCATCGGAATCATCATCATCCGCCTCGACCTGCTCTTCCTCATTCTACCTGCTCCTCCTCATTACCCTGCATCCTCTTGTCCTCATGCCCATTGCCATCACACTCATCATGGCACCCATCATACCAAAGTGTTATTCTTCAGCCAGCAACTTCCCACCAACTCAGGAGACCTTTCACCATCTCCCCCCTCCTCTCCTCCTCGTCGTCTCCTTCTTCTCTTCCTCCCCCCAGGTACCGCTTTCGGAGCCTCCAGAATATTTCCGAACTCTTACGAAACGTGGAAACGTGCAGAACATCCTCGCCCCCCATTCCTCTCCTCCTTCCCTCCTCCCGCTGCCTCCTCCTCCTCCTCCTCGTCCTCCCCTCCGCCCTCCTCTCCTCCTCCTCCTCCTCCTCCTCCTCCTCCTCCTCCTCCTCCTCCTCCTCGGGATGTGGTCCTCTGTTTCCTCCTGCTCACTTGTCTATCCCTCCTCCGCCGTCACTGCCGGGCTCCCTCCTCCTCCTCCTCCGCCCTCCGCCACCTCCCTCCCCTCCTCCTCCCCTCCTCCTCCACCTCCTCCTCCTCCTCCTTTCTTCGTCCTCGTCCGTGTCCCTCCTCCACATCCCTCCCTTCCTCACGTCCCTTTCCCTCCTTCCCCTGTCCCTCCCCCCGCCTCTCCTCCCCTACCCCCTCCCCCTCCTCCTCCCCCCCCTCCCCTCGCCTGAGGTCGAAGCCCACTCTTGGGGCTGAGCCGCCCACGGGCCAGTCGGTGCCCGCGAGCCTGGACTGGGTCGCGCTTGGCGGCGTGACGACGCCGCTGAACCAGGCGCCTCTTCGATCCATCATCGCCCTCGATCCTCCTCCTCCTCCTCCTCCTTCTCCTCCTCGGTACTCCATCCTCGATCCTCATCTATCCTCGATTCTCCTCGTCGTCCTCCTCCTCGATCCTCCTCGATCCTCTATCCTCTTCTATCCTCCGTCTCCTCCTCCTCCCCCTCCTCCTCTCCTCCTCCTCCTCTTCTCCTCCTCCTCCTCCGCCGTACATTCAAGCTCTGGCTCGTCTCTACCAGGGCCAGACATCACAAGTCGTGTCAGACCAGAGCAGCCGGACGTGCAAAGTGGAGCGAGGCACCCGCCAAGGAGATCCACTCAGTCCAGTTCTTTTCAATGCGGTCCTGGGGCATTCCATGCGCGATTCAAAGCTTGCGTGGAGAAAGGACCGGCGCGGTGTTCGCAGTGGAAACGAGTACCTCATGAATTTACGTCGTGCTGGTGACATCTTACTGGTGGGATAGACTCGTGCCCAGGTTCGCCACATGCGACTTGCAGACGGCAGCCGGGGAGTGCGGACTCAAGCTGCACAAGTGCAAGACAAATATATTGTCGAATGTAGAAGTGCGGGTACGCAAAGGGGTGCTGCGGCAGAAGCACGTCCAAGTGGGGGAAGGCTACGTCGACGTTGTCCCTTCTGATGGTGACGCTGTTTATTTGGGAAGGCTGGTTTCGTTTGCTGATTTCTACGACGTCGAACTGACTCACCGCTTCTCTCGAGGGTGGGCAGCGTTTGGGAGATTCAAACAGGAGTTGACCAATATGCATTGTCTGCTGCGTTGCAGAGTGCGTCTGTTCGACGCGACGGTGGCTTACTCCGTGCTATACGGCAGCGGGTGCTGGACGATGACGGCAGAGAGGGCTTGCAGATTGCAGCCGAGGAGAGAAAAAGGATGCGGCGAATCATTCAAACGCCGAGAAGACATGTCGAATTTGCCGATATGAGCATAGAACAGGAAAGCTGGGTAGATTGGGTTACGCGCGCTACCAGGCGGGCCGAAGGACTCTTCCGGCGAGCCGGTTACCGCAGCTGGGGCGACCAGCAGCAGGAGAGAAGAAAACGCCGATTGCAAAGCCGAGTTCAGCAATGCGAGGACGGGCGTTGGCCCACCAAGCTTCTGGATTGGACACCTGGGGGCGTTCGCGTGACCGAGCGGCCCTGGCAGCGCTACGCAGATTGATTCTCGGTGCTATTTTTCATTCAGCGAGCCCGTTTGCCCTCCAGGGGCACGGGCGCGGGATCACCCGCAGCGCTGCATTCTGTCCTGTCCTTCTCCTCCTGCTTCTTCTCCTTCTCCTCCTTCTCCTCCTCGATCCTTCTGCATCCTCCTCGATCCTCGATCCTCTTTTGTCCTCTATCTCCTCCTCCTCCTCGATCCAGATGCCTCCAGACATTTGCGTGGCTGTTGAAGGAGGCGCGGGCCTGGCGACGTCTTCGAGGTCGTCGTCGACGTCGTCGTCGTCGTGTTCGCCGCCGCCGCCGCCGTGGTCGTGGCCGCCGCCGCCGCTGTGGTCGGTGTGGTCGGGGTCGTCGTCGTTCTCGTCGTCGTCGTCGTCGTCGTCTTCGTCGTCGTCGTCGATGTCGTTGTTGTTGTTGCTGCTGTTGCTGTTGCCGTTGTCGATGTCGTCGAGGTCGTTGAGGTAGTTGGGGTCGGAGGAAGAGGAAGAGGAGGAGGAGGAGGAGGAGGAGGAGGAGGAGGAGGGAAAGGAGGAGAAGGAGGAGAAGGAGGAGGAGAAGGAGGCGGCGGAGGAGGAGGAGGCGGATGAGGAGGAGGAGGTGGAGGAAGAGGAGGGGGAAGAGGAGGAGGAGGAGGAGGAAGAAACAAAATGATAATGATGAATTTAATAAGAAGAGTAAGAATACTAAGAATAATGATGCTACTAAGACGAATAAGAAGACTACGAGGAATACTACTCTTAATAAGAAAACAAATAAGAATCATATTAATACTACGAAGAATACAACCAATAATAGCAATAAGAAGAAACGTACTATATTCATACTGATAAGAATGGCAGTAATACTAATACTATTAAAACGAGTAATACTATTCATGTTGCTATTACTAAGAATACTTATAATAATAAGAGGACGAATACTACTACTACTACTACTACTACTACTACTACTACTACTGCTACTACTACTACTACTAATACTACTACTACGGCTACTAATTATACATGCAACGAATCGTACTACTACTACTACTAATAATAATAGTAATAATTACAATAAGAAGAAGACGAAGACAAGCACCACTAACACTAATACTAGTAGTACTAATACAAATGATAAGAACCAGGCCAGCAATACTAATAGTTATACTGACAATGCTAATTACACTAATATTAATACTGATGGTACTAATACTAATAATACTGATAATACGACGAGTCATAATAAGACGAATCATGCTAACAAGAGTAATACACATAATGGTAATAGCGATACTAATAGGAATGAGAACACTAATGCGACGACGCATAATAATAAGACTACTAAGGCGACTAATAATAAGAAATTAAGAAAAGCAATACTCATCCGAAGAATAATACGGATAATGCGAATACTAATCGCAAAATTAATGGTAATATTAATACGAAGAATAATAAGAGACGGCGGATGAGGAAGAGGAGGAGGAGGAACAGGAGGATGGGGAGGAGAAGGAATATGAGGAGGAGGACGAGGAGGAGGAGGAGGAGGAGGAATATTAGCAGGCGGAGGAAGCGGAGGAGGAGGAGGAACAGGAGGAGGAGGAGGAGGAGGAGGAAAAAGAAGAGGAGGAGGAGGAGGAGGAGGAAGAGAGGCGGAGGAGGAGGACAAGGAGGAGGAGGAGAAGGAGGAAGGGGAGGAGGAGGGGGAAGATGATGATGAGGAGGAGGAGGAGGAAGAGGAGGAGGAGGAGGAGGACGAGGACGATGAGGAGGAGGAGGAACAGGAGGAGGAAGAGGGTGAGGAGGAGGAGGACGAGGAGTAGGAGGATGACCAGTGTAAACCCAAGAGTCATCACCGATGTTGGAATGAACTTTCCCTCCAAGCTCCCGTTGCACAGGCCCCTACAACGATTTATTTCCATTTAGGGAACTGCCTCTTGGGAAGACAACCGTTTGGAGACCCTGAAGCATGCCAAATCATGTTCTCGGGATTCCAACGCCACTGATCAACCTGACCGTTTCGTTTTGACAATCCTGATTCGTGCCAGAGCACCATTCTTGGGACCTCAACACAGCGAATCAACAGAACTGTTGCACCCGCATAACCATGAACCTTTTCGAAACACCATGTTTGACACGTTGATGATGGGAATCCGTGAAACCCGTGCAAATTGTTGAAACGAACGTGTGCCGCGCTATAGCGAGAGCCACATTTTGAACACCCCCTCAATCTGTGAAGCTCTTGCAAGTTTTTACAGCCAATGTGCGCCGCGCTAAGGCGAGAGCCACATTTTGAAAACCACTCGCCCTCAACCTGTGAAGCTCTTGCGTTTCGTTACAACCAATGTGTGCTGCGCTAAGGCGAGAGCCACATGTTGAAAACCACTCCCCCTCAACCTGTGAAGCTCTTGCAAATGTTTACAACCAATGTGTGCCGCGCTAAGGCGAGAGCCACATGTTGAAAACCACTCGCCCTCAAGCTGTGAAGCTCTTGCGTTTTGTTACAACCAATGTGTACCGCGCTAAGGCGATAGCCACATTTTGAAAACGACCCGCCCTCCATCTGTAAAACTGTTGCAAGGTTTCCAGCTTCGGAGTCATACTTAGTGAGGAAGCATCAGGCGACACGCCCGGCCCGCCCTAAAAACAGGCCTCGGGGTGCGACAGGGAGAAGTTAGTTTGAAGGAAAAGGAGCGGAGGAAGATGATGATGATGATGATGATGATGATGATGATGATGATGATGATGATGATGATGATGATGATGATGATGATGATGATGATGATGATGATGTGATGATGATGACTGATGATGACGATGACGATGATGATGATGATGATGATGATGATGATGATGATGATGATGAGGAGGAGGAGGAGGAGGAGGAGGAGGAGGAGGAGGAGGAGGGAGTGGAGGCGCCAGGAGGAGGAGGAGGAGGAGGGGATGAGGAAGGAGGAGAGGAGGAGGAGGAGGAGAGGAGGAGGAGGAGGAGGAGGAGAGGAGAAGGAGGAGGAGGAGGAGGAGGGAGGCGGGAGATTGGCCAGTCGCAGGCCTCGATCCTCCTCGATCCTTGATCCTTGATCCTCGATCCTCTTCGTCCAACCTGGATCCTCGATCCTCGATTCTTGGTCCTTGATCCTCGATCCTCCCATCCACCTCAACGTCCTCCTCCCCTCTCCCTTCGCGATCCTCCTCCTCCTCCTTCTCCTCCTCGGTCCTCTTGGATCCTCGGTCCTCCTGGAGGTCTGCATGACGGGGGAAGGGAGGTTCGAGGATCGAGGGTCGACGTTTCTCTGAGGCGTCTAGTGCCATGCTTTTTGGGGCTCTTGGAGGCCGATGCCGTGGAAGGCTCCCCGAGGGGGGGGGATCTGGGGGAGAACCCGAAGAACGAACCCGAAGGATGATGATGATGATGATGATGATGATGATGATGATGATGATGATGATGATGATGATGATGATGATGATGATGATGATGCTGCCGATGATGATGATGATGGTGATGATGATGATGATGATGATGATGATGATGATGATGATGATGATGACGAGGATGATGATGCTGATGATCATGATGATGATGATGATGATGATGATGATGATGATGAGGAGGAGGAGGAGGAGGAGGAGGCGGAGGAAGAGGGAGGAAGGGAGGACCCTTCCAAAAGCACAATCACGGGCGTTTCACGACCTGCTCCAGGTCAGCGGGGGCCTCACGGATCTATCCAGTCTCAGAGACCCCACACGAGGATGGAGTCTGGAGCTTCAGTGGTCGTTTTTCACGGCGCTTTGATCCGTTCACCGCAGTGTCGGACATCGGACATTCAGGTAGGTGCAGGAGGGAAGCCCAGTACCAGGAATGAGGGGGTGAGCCCGGAGAGGATGACGGGGGAGGAGGGGGGCAGATGGGCAGGAGGGGGGCGGATGGGCGGAGAGGATGAGGAGGATGAGCATGAGTAGGAGAAAAAGATGATGATAATGCTGGTGATGATGATAATGCTGATGATTATGATGCTGATGATGACGATGACGATGACGATGACGATGATGATGATGATGATGATCATGATGATGATGATGATGATGATGACGATGAAGATGACGATGATGGTGATGATGTTCATGATGATGATGCTGATGATGATGCTGAACATCATGATGATGCTGCTGATAGTGATGCTGCTGATGATGCTGCTGATGATGCTGATGATGCTGATGATGATGATGCTACTGATGATGGTGATGATGCTGATGGTTGTGATGATGTTGCTAATGATGATGCTGATGCTGATGCTGATGTTGATGATGATGATGCTGATGATGATGATGACAATTATGATGATGATGATGATGATGATGATGATGATGATGATGATGATGATGATCATGCTCATGATGATGCTGATGCTGATGATGATGATGATGTTGATGATCATGATGCTGATGATGCTGCTGCAGCTGATGATGATGGTATAATGATAATAATGATGATGCTGATGATGATGATGCTGATGCTGATGCTGCTGCTGATGATGATGATGATGATGATGATGATGCTGATGCTGATGCTGATGATGATGATGATGATGTTGTTGATGATCATGATGCTGATGATGCTGCCGCAGCTGATGATGATGGTATAATGATAATAATGATGATGCTTCTGATGATGATGATGATGATGCTGCTGCTGATGCTGCTGATGATGATGATGATGATGCTGATGCTGATGCTGATGATGATGATGATGATGATGATCATGATGATGATGATGATGATGATCATGATGATGATGATGATGATGATGATGATGATGATGATGATGATGATGATGATGATGATGATGATGATGATGATGATGATGATGATGATGAGGAGGAGGAGGAGGAGGAGGAGGAGGAGGAGGAGGAGGAGTGGAAGGTGGTCAGCACAGGCCCGTTTCCCTTCTGCTGCTCTAGCTATTCTAGCACATATCAACAGGCTCGCTGTCCCCACTTCGGGCCCTGGCCTCTTTCACTGCCGGACGACCCCTGCCGCTCCTCAGTGTTACGACTCGGCAGCAGCAGCACGTGAGGTCGGAGCTTCTGCCTCAAGGTTTACTGTTGTTTATGTAGTTCGCAGCGAGGCATGTCAGTGGATGTGTGAGTGAGTGAAATAGTTGCTGAGTGCGCGACCCAGGCATCCGGCGCTTCGATTTGTTCGCTGCGTGGCCTTCCTGGATTTCACGAGCTCTCCCCCAGGGTTGTATTTTCATCCTGAGCCGTTTTTGACGGTCCCGAGGCCCAAAACTGGACTCCAGAGGCCAAACATGACGACGAATTGGCCGCCTCGTTTCTTGTTCGACGCGCTGGATGCAAGAGGAGGGTCCCCCCCCCCGAGAGGGCTCGTGCAACTCCTGCTGGACCTTTGCCACCTCCGGGTCCCTGGAGGGCGCGTGGTTCGCCCAGACAGGAGACGGGGCTGCTCTGCTCCACCGCTGCCGCCTGCCAGCGTCATCGCCCTCGTCATCGGCTTTACCCATGTCGGGGCCCTCCACGAAAGGCCTCGCCCTCGAAAGATCGAGAGGTCGAGATCGCTTCCTCGGCGGAAGGCGGCGGAAGCCCGGCAGAAGGTGGCGGAATCAAACGTGAGGCGTCGACGCTTTCGGCTTCAGTGTCTCTGGGGTCGGCCATGCCTCTGGAACTGCGTGGTTGTCGGTGTTGGGCAGCCCCCGTTGCTGCATTCTTCCAGGGCGGAGGCGCCAGAGGTGCTGGAAGCCCAGGAGGCCTCTGAGGCGCCGGGGGGGGCCTGACCCCTCAGGGGCAGCGACCGGGGCCCTGCCATTCCTCGCCCGTCGGGGCCTGGGCCCCCCCCCCCCCCCACCTCACACAGGGAGCGTGCGGTTTCGCCATCGGGGGCCTGTCGCCGATCTATTGGCGATGTGTCGCGGGTGCCAGGCCGATGTTCCCCCCCCCCCCCGAGCCAGCACCGCCCCCTCTTCGCTGCCCCTTTGTGGCCGTCGCCTTCGCCGCTGGCCTCTTTTCCTCATCCTGCTGTCCTCGCCCCTTGTGCGCCGGGCCCCGCATCCATCTGGGCCGCCCTCCACTCCCTGGTTCCCCTCGCCTCCGCGCTCCGTTCTATTCCGTTCCTCTCTCCTTCTGTCCTCGTCCTGTCCTCCTCCTCTTCCTCATCCTCCTCTTCCTCCTCCTCTTCCTCCTCGTCCTCCTCCTCCTCGTCCCTCATCGTCTCCTTTTCCCCATCCTCGTCCCGTCCTGGTGCTGTCCCCCCCGCACCCCGCCCGCCCGCCGCCCGCCCCCCGCCCTCCCCTCTGCTCTTCTTGCCCCCGTCACATCCCGTTCCGTTCCTCCTGCTGCTCCTCGTCCTGCTGCTCCTCCTCCTCCTCCTCCTCTTCCTCCTCGTGCCCTCACTCGAACGGTAGCCCCTCCTTCTCACCCCTGCCTTGCCTGGCCTGCTATGTTGCTTGCCTAGCGCGCCCGCCTTCTACCCCTCTTCTTCCCGCCTGATACACGCCTTCACTGCACCCCGCTTGCAGAGTCATCCGCCTTCACACATCACTTTTTACACCCATTTCTATAGTTGGTGGCGGAGCATCGGCTCCCTTCCACGGCCGCAATGACTTCTCGTTCTCGCCCCGCGTCGACCGCCAGGGCTCCACTTTTCCACCGCGTTCAAGGCCAGGATCATGCAGCCACCGTGGTCGCAGTGTTCGTGCACTGCCTGACCATCTCTGGGGCAGTCGCCATTCCACCTTGAGGGTTTGTGGAAGGGGAACGTGCGCAACCCCTTACATGTATAAGTACGCGAACGAAACCTTCGAGGACATCCAGGACACTGGCCTCGCGCCAGCTCTCTCTGCCCCATTTCTCGCGCTCGCACTCGTTGTGTCAGCGCAGCTCGCCCACCCAGCGTCCTCGACGCACCCGTCCGTGGAAATAACCACACATGTGGGTGTGGCTGTCAATAATGGACAGTTGCTTGACGAAGCGTTCACATCAACGGCGTCGGCAAATTGTCCCGAGCTCCTCGTGATTGTGTCACGAAGGCCCTGGGAGGTGCAAGCAGAGCAGGGCGGAAAGTCAGTGGAGGGCCTGGCGACTGTGTTGCCAGCGTTCCTAAGGACCGCAGGACGGACCTGGGACTATCCATCTTCGATATTTTAGATCATGACGTAATACCTTACCCGCGCATTCCCTGCAGTCTGGCAGGACTGGATCCCGATGTACTCCTCCTACCCCCGGTGTCCGGGACCTCCTTGAGACGTAGAGGGAAACCCACTCCTGATGGAAGGCCATCGGGGCGGGCATGCTTGGCATCACTAGCTGCTTTTCGTGCATGGACGCAAGCTGCAGCAGTGGCAACATGCGTCACCTCCGCACCTGCGGGTCCGAGCGGCAGTCTCGAGTGACTGTCCAGCGATGGGTCCGCGAGGTAAGTATCTGGTCAGTGGCGAACTCGGATCTCAACGAGTTTCGCCAGGCGGCCTACGTCTCGTCGCGCCTCGCCGGCATGGCTCGCAAGTGCGCAGATGAATGGCCGCCGGCTGTCCTGATCCAAGGAGCGCTCATTAACGGCATCCCAGTGCTATCGATGACCTTGCTTATGCGCAGCTTGGCCAAACGACGGGGCCAACTGGGCGAGGGGGGCTCCCTTCGGCAGTATCGGCGCTCGTGAATTTCAACAGACTGCCGCAAGAGCGCAGCGACAACCCCCTCGCGAGTTTCGACATCCTGCGCAAACGTGCGCAGCAAGCTGGTCTTCCCCCAGCTGCGCCCCGTTGGCGTGTTGAACATCCAGCTGGCCATGATCTTGCGGCGCTACATCATGGCCTGCCCTGCGAACGCAGCGCAGCTCGCGCAGCTCGCGGCCAGCTGCGACCCCTCGGGCGCATGCTCGAAGGGTCGCCCGGCAACTCTGCCCAACAACGCAACTTCCTCGCGGGTGGGCCCGCGCGAAATCTGGCTCGCGGTGCTGCTGGTCTGGACGCCCGAAATGGGCACGGAAAGAATGGGTACAATACCGAACAGCAGTTCTTGTTCATTTTGAATAGGACTCGCTGTCCACGCCGCCGCGGCCTGTGTCCATTCGAGACAGAAGGCCGCCTGCCCAACAGCGGCCGCTGTTGGTTTGGGACAGCATTTCTTGTTTGGCATTGTACCCATTCTTCCCGTTCCCATTTCGGGCGTTGAAAGCTGGTGCTGTTGCCGGATCGAGCTGAACGGCATGGGCCCGGCCGCTCTGGGGGCGGCGCCGAGCCCGCCTGCGCGAGCAACTGCTGGCAGCGCCAGCGCGGCGCCACCAGCGCAGTGGGTGTTAACGCAGGCGCCGGCGCCGACGCCTTCAGCGCACACGGCGAAGAGATTGCCGCAGACGATCCCGAGCGGCGGAACGTTCCCGTGGAATAGCGCGGTGCGCACCTTTTCTGGGCTTAAGCGCGCCGAAGCACACTGGCGCAGCTTCGACAATCGCATGCCTGCGCGCCGCGTCTGGACGGTTGTCAAACGGAAGGGCAAGGACCAAGGCAAGGGCTACCTTACCTTCGTTTCTGACCTGTCCGAACACGATTTTCACGGGGAGTTTTCGTTGGTTTCGGCAAGGGCAGCGGTGACGGTGAGGGGGGTTCAGGACCAGTGGCGCAGGTTCCGGTCGCCAGGGCCATCCCATGGGCCCTGACGGGGTGCGTCTCGCATGCCGCGAGTGCGACTCTGAAGAGCGCCTCGCGCGCGACTGCCCCCCGCGCAGCAACCGGGGGCGCTCGCCATTCCTCAATGCCTGCGCCCCAGAATCATCGCCGCCGCCGGCGTCCTCGCTATTTCCGTTTCTCGGAGAGCAGGGCCGCAGCGTCCCGTGAGTGCGTGGGTGACTAGGGGCGTCTCTGGGACTCCGAAGCCAGTGGTTGAAGCGCGGGGGTCGGTGACCCCGCGCAGAGCGCTGGCCTTGGGGCCGGGGGCCGGCCGACTCCAGCGGCGCTGGCGCCGCGGCCGGCGGCGCCAGCAGCTGCTCCAAGTGCGTTGCCGGGCCGCTCTTGGCGACGAGTTGGCCGCGGCCATTGATCGCGCCGATTGGGGGCGCCATCCCCGCCTGTGCCCTCGCGACGCCGAATTGCGACGACTGCGAAGGGGGATGGCAGAGCTCGCGAGCCGCTTGCAAGCCTCTGCGCAACCTGCGAGTCCTGTGACTGCGTCGCTGGCCCGTGCGGCAGCGGCGAGGGAGTCGTTGCCAGCCGGGCTGGCAGCGCCGACTGCTCCAGCATCTTTGCCATTGCGACCGCAACCAACGCTGCGCCAGTATACGCGAGTGGGTGGTGCGTTCCCGCTGGGGCAAGCTCGGGGGCGCGACTGGGAGGGCGACCTCAATGCGCGAGTCGCCGCGCCTCCGGCCCCGCCTGCCGACGTGCGGCGGTCGAGCTGGGCATGCGTGCCTTCAGTCTCAGCTCTCGGCATCAGCGCTCCATGTGGATCGAGCTCCACTTGGCCAACTCAGTCCGCGCCAGCAGTGGCGCCGGCGCCAGTGCAGGAGTCTCTCCAGGAGCTGGCCCGCCGACGTGAGCCAGCCGCCAGAGAGAGTGGCCGCGTGATTCGGCGGCCGCGAGAACTGGATGGCCAGTGGTTGCCGATCCGAGCGCAACGTGGGCGCCGCCCTCGACCGCGCGCAACGACGACACCTCGGCGAGCTCCGCGGCGCGCGGTTGGCACTTAAGCTCACGCAGCAGCAGGGCGAGCAGGGGCGTCAGGCCGCGCAGAGTTGGACAGAAACTTCATTCATCTTCCTCCTGTGCTGGCCGCAGCGCCTGCTGGGCCTCCCGCAGTCGCGGGCGACAAGGGGGTGTTCCATCTGCCCCTGGGCCCTCCAGCGCGGCGAGGGGGGGGTGATGCCCCTGCTCTGCCGCCGCATCCTGCGCCGCGCGTGCCATCTGCGACTGATGCAGAATACGCCCGTTTTGTGTATTGTCCGGCATGCCGTGCCCGGCCGACGTCGTCGCCGACTTCCGCTTCGCTGGTGAGGATCGCGTGCCGGCGGGCCCAGTGCCCGTGGCATCGGCCCGCGTGGCAGCCGACAGGGGCGTGGCGGAGGAGACCCCGCCGCGGCAGAGCATCGCGAAGTCTTCCCGACCAGTCCCTGGCCGTGGGCCGCCTCGGCCAGACATTGCGCAATCGCTGGCAAGTGCGTCCAGCTTCGCGTCTGCAGTGGGCGCGGCGGCGCCCTGCGACGTCCGCCTGGTTTTGCGCGTGCCGCCGTGCAGGCTGGCCACCCCGCGGTGGCCGACTTCGTCGGGCAGGGGCTCGAGTGCGTCGAACGATTCGTCGTGCTTTGCGGCGAGCGTTGATCTGGCAGGTGGTCGATTTGGCCCGTTTAGGCGTCGTTGTCATAGTCGACGCCGGCGCCTGGGCGAACCTTTGGGGTTGCGTTCTGCCGAGCATATGGCTCGCCGGGCCCAGCAGGCGAGGCTGCGGCTCATTGC